CTGGTGGTGGACTGGCTGGTGGTGGTGGGCTGGAGGGTGGTGGGCTGGAGGGTGGTGGTGGGCTGGCTGGTAGTGGGCTGGTGGTGGGACCCACATCATTAGCTGGGTCGTAACGATCCAGTGTGTCGATTGTTGCTTTTCCAGGCCCACTTACGGCCGCACAAGTATTCAACAGTTCTTCGTTCACTCCCTATATTCGCCTCAAACTTTACACATTTGCAAATTGTTGCTAATTAGATGCATTGTGAATGTAAATTAGAATATTATGAAGAACACGATTAGTTAATTAAGAGTTTAAGTAGATAAGCTGATGGCAAAGGTTTGGTGAACGAAAACTGGGGAGAGTTTTCCCAGATTGTTTGGTTCATGGCTGGCCTGTGAACGAGGGTTCGAAGCTCACAGTCTGGTAATTGACAATTAGTCGTGTATGTCTGACTTTTACCGTGTTGTTCTTGGCCACTGCTGACCCCTGCTGGAGGCGGCACCCGTAGGTGCTCCACGACACACGGTGCTCCACGACGCACGGAGCTCCACCACGCACGGTGCACCACGACGCACGGTGCACCACGACGCATGGAGCTCCACGACGCACGGTGCTCCCCAACACAAGACAAAGTACTGTATGAAACATTACAGATGATTTACCGGTCCTGTACTCCCATTTTACGACATAATACAACAATGATGTGTGTTGTAATTGTAAGCCAACTTTGTGAAAGAGCTTTAATACCCTCCCGTGGCCGAGTGCTCCATAACTCACCATATAGCGTCATGGTTACAATTGTAATTTACAATTAGGCAAACGTTTACCAGTAACTTACTGTGAGTTGAGTCTTCAAGAACTCACTACACTATATGTAGTATAACAGTAGTATAATATAATACTATATATAATATGTAGTATAATATATATATATATATATATATATATATATATATATATATATATATATATATATATATATATATATATATAGTGGATGGCCACTTCTGTGGTGAATCTTTGGCCATAATTTTTTCAGTGGTTAACAAATGGAATGCACTAGGAAGTGATGTGGTGGAGGCTGACTTCATACACAGTTTCAAATGTAGATATGATTGAGCCCAGTAGGCTCAGGAACCTGTACACCAGTTGATTGACAGTTGAGAGGCGGGCCCAAAGAGCCGAAGCTCAACCCCAGCAAGCACAACTAGGTGAGTACACACACACTCGTACAGAGATGGTCATATAAATGGCTACTAAGAGTACAACAACCTGGTTAATACAAGGTAATGAGACAGAGATGGTGCAAGACTTCACACTGAGCAGTTCTGGTGTAAGGGAGACCACGCTCTCACAATCAACCATAGCGATTACTTCCCTAAATATGGTGTGTTAGAACCATCAAAATAACATAATAGATCACAAACTAAACAAATTAATGGAAAATAACCAAGACCATAAAGTTTCAAATGAGAAGCTTGCTGATAATTAAGTGATTTATCTGGGTAATTGGTCATTGGAGAGAGAGATGAAGAAGTGACAAGTTACTAAGAACAGTCGTCCCAGTGAGACGTTCACGCCGCTAGTTATTGCCAGTCGTTGTGTGTAAACTGTCAAACTACCGCTCAACAAATGGCCCAGGCCTCCAAGCTGTGTGTGTGTCGTCTGCAATTAGCTAAACTGATTATTCTTTCAACAAGGATTTATGGATGCAAATTGTCATTTTAATATTGTTATTAATGGTTGTGTTAATGTTGATATTTACATTATTAATGATAGAATACTTGATGGTTTATGTTTGAGCAACCCGACTTGTTGGTGGTGATAATATTATGGTGAATGGTTCTGTTGTTATGACTCTTGGTACATTATTAGTATTATGGCAACTGGCAGAGTCCCAGACTAGTGCAACAGTGGACAGCTTCTCCACCCTGGTGGTGGCCCTTGAACACACTGGTGGTGGCCCTTGAACACACTGGTGGTGGCCCTTGAACACACTGGTGGTGGCCCTTGAACACCCTGGTGGTGGCCCTTGAACACCCTGGTGGTGGCCCTTGAACACACTGGTGGTGGCCCTTGAACACACTGGTGGAGGCCCTTGAACACCCTGGTGGTGGCCCTTGAACACACTGGTGGTGGCCCTTGAACACACTGGTGGTGGCCCTTGAACACACTGGTGGTGGCCCTTGAACACACTGGTTGTGGCCCTTGAACACACTGGCATGGCCCTTGAACACACTAGGATGGCCCTTCAACACACTGGCATGGCCCTTGAACACACTAGGATGGCCCTTGAACACACTGGCATGGCCCTTGAACACACTGGCATGGCCCTTGAACACACTGGCATGGCCCTTGAACACACTAGCATGGCTCTTGAACACACTAGCATGGCTCTTGAACACACTAGGATGGCCCTTCAACACACTAGCATGGCCCTTCAACACACTGGCATGGCCCTTCAACACACTGGCATGGCCCTTGAACACACTGGCATGGCCCTTGAACACACTGGTGGTGGCCCTTGAACACACTAGCATGGCCCTTGAACACACTGGTGGTGGCCCTTGAACACCCTGGTGGTGGCCCTTGAACACACTGGTGGTGGCCCTTGAACACACTGGCATGGCCCTTGAATACACTGGTGGTGGCCCTTGAACACACTGGTATGGCCCTTGAACACACTGGCATGGCCCTTGAACACACTGGTGGTGGCCCTTGAACACACTGGCATGGCCCTTGAACACACTGGCATGGCCCTTGAACACACTGGCATGGCCCTGGAACACACTAGCATGGCCCTGGAACACACTGGCATGGCCCTGGAACACACTGGCATGGCCCTGGAACACACTGGCATGGCCCTAGAACACACTGGCATGGCCCTGGAACACACTGGCATGGCCCTTGAACACACTGGCATGGCCCTTGAACACACTGGCATGGCCCTGAAACACACTGGCATGGCCCTGGAACACACTGGCATGGCCCTGGAACACACTAGCATGGCCCTGGAACACACTAGCATGGCCTTACAACACCGGTGCCCAGAGAAGGTGTGGAGGTGGTGTGGAGACACGGAGCAGTGGGAGGTCGACAGGTCTACGACAGGTGTGGGATCAACGACACAAGGGGCCGGGTGGCAGTTAGCCTCATTAGAGATATTTG